AGTGTCCATGTGAATCCGGCCCTTTTTACAGCAACAATTTTAACCTTTTAAATTCTTGCATCTGTGTTCCCCTTATGGACTAGAGTGATGTTCACGTCTTCTATGGTCCTATTGATTGGAAAACTCACATCTTCTATGGTCCTATTGATTGGACAACTCACATCTTCTATGGTCCTATTAATTGGACAACTCACATCTTCTATGTTCCTATTGATTGGACCATTCATGTCTTCTATGGTCCTATTGATTGGACCATTCACGTCTTCAATGGTCCTATTGATTGGACCATTCACGTCTTCTATGGTCCTATTGATCCTATTGAATTGATTGTCTGTATGCACAGTGTGTGTGTGTGTGTGTGTGTGTGTGTGTATGTATTGTCAATGGCATCCCAAAGCACTTGAGTTGAAGCTCAATGTGTGGTAATACGCAACCATGAGCTGTGCTACCAAAAAATGCCACAAGTGCCTTAGTCAACCTATTCAGACTAAAAGCCTTAAGTTGACACGTGTGCATTAGTTGCACTACAACAAACCACCCTGGAGTAGACCGGTCCTTAGGGTGACAAAAAAGGGTGTTTTTGGCAGTATTTCTGCATATTTTATGCATTTTTGTAGTTTGACCAGCGTTGGATATAAAGCAATGTTACTGTAAATAAAAGGACATTTTCTTCACTTCAAGTGTTCAGGTAGAGTACCATTAAGGTCCTATTTGCGTTATACAATGCTGGAACATGTGCAATATCATGCGTGTTCCCAGGGGGCATGTAAATGCGCTATGTTTTTCGACATGAGCGCTGTGATTTTATTCATTTTTGAAGGCACCCCAAACCTACCAGCCAACGTGCATGCACCAAGTCGCATTGTAGTGCAATATGATGCACCTAAACTCATGCCACCATCGCACCTAAATTGGTGTGAATGAAGCCCAAGTGTTCAGATGAGAGATCCTCTATAATAGATTAGTAAATTGTGATAAAACACAAGGACAGGATGATACTCACCCTGCAGGTTTAGTAGCTGGGAACGTCTTCCACTCCAACCTCATCCCACCTCTTCCCAAATCTATGGGGTGAACACACAGAGTTATTACCAGAAAATCTGTTAAGGTCTTAAATACAACAGAAGCCTCTGATGGAAGCTGCCACTTTGCTTCTTAGTTGTACCATAGTTCCAATGATCTAGAAACAGAATACTCAAATGTGAGGCCATTTGATGCCCTGGATCTAGGAATCAGAGAATAGCAGCTTCCATCAGAAGATAGTCTTGTGGCCATGAATGTAGGTGAGTAAAAAGAGCATTTAGGTGAAGGGGAGCCCCAATAGATCTCTCTGCACTCAGAGGGGAGGGGGGCATAACCATTGGGTATTATAATATATATGGCATCAGTTTTTGTACCACGAGTTGGCTCAATCCCTAAGTTGGTTTCTCCAGGCAGGGTGTCTAACCATTGTTGCCAAAGTTTGTAAAATTTTCGAGGGGCAGGCTCTGTTAGATAGAATTTGAACTTCTAATGACAAATCATTTAATATCCTTACCCAGTGGATAATTTTGGTGTAGCACCCTCCTGGAGTTATGTGGTCTATTTGGTAACTTTAGTTAGCTCCTCTGTAATCAGTGGAGCAGGGGTTGATTATTTAGTGTAGCTCAGTGTCTCAAAGGCTGCTGCCCTGATTACTTCCCCTAGATTCTAGAAGATTCTGGAATTATATTGGCAGAGAGTACACAGTGGGCAGCCTCAATATTTATGATCCAATCCCTGGGGAGGTGTACCCAGCAGGTGGTTGAAGAACCCATCAACAGTTTAAGGCTTGAGGCAGGGGGCTGAGTGTTGTTGGGTCCAGTCCTGCACCTGGGGCAGGAGTGCTAAAGAAGCCTTTGTGAATACACCGAGGTCCCAGCTAGGCTTAGCTGAGGAGCCTATTTGCAAACTTAGTCCTAGAATCAATTTGGGCCAGGAGAGAGCCAGGAGGAAGTTGGAGGAAACTGTCTCCAACTGTCCTATGGTGGTGTGAGCTTACATCTCCCTCACTGGAAAGAGCCTGGTGGATATCGGAAGGAGGCAACCAATGATCCCGTGGCTGTGTGGCTGGAGAGTCAGAGACTTGTGTGCAGCTTATGATCTCTGGAAGAATTCATAGTCACTGTCAGCATTAGAGATTCTGTGGGACACTTTTTTGTACAGTGCAGCAAGATAATTAAGGAATCCTCCAAGTGTTCACTTCTGGGGTATCTTATGCTCCCTCACCCCATCCAAGTTCTATTTTTCAATAAAACCCTAAAAAGACACCCCTTGACTGTTCCTTTGTGCCAGTGGAGTAGCAAAGAAAATGCCATGTGCCTGGATGTGTGTGCTCTAACTGAGGCAGTATGGCTACATTCAGCAGCGGCTGTATAGGGGGTGCACACCTTCTGGTTTAGAAGAATAACGTTTGGCCATGGAGGAGTATCAAGAGTCATAGATTTGAAAGACAAAGACCAGGTATAAATCCATCAACCTCAGCAAGTAGACCTTCTGGGTTTTGGGGTCTGTGTATCTATATCAAGTCTAGAGACCAAAAGGTTGTATGCCTGAGCCCTGTATGAAGAAACATATGAACATGTCCAGACCAAATGAAGAATATTAGCTGGCCAATTAGAGCTCCCATGGCACACAAACACCAGAAAGCAGGCCAATGCAGTGTAGTTCCGCTAGAGTGAACTATTATAGGTATTTTTATTTTTTGCTTTATCTTTGGTTGAACTTGATGGACTTTTTTTCTAGCTGACTCCCCATGTAATGTTGTGCAGCACTGAAGACTATAATCTTGTATATTTTGGTAATTTGTGACTTGGCATGCATAACCAGATCTGTATCTGATCTCTGTGAAACGTCCATCCTCCTATCTTGGTAACAAATTCATTAATGAGGATAGGAATTTAGCATCTGCTGCCCAATACTTGTTTTCTTAAGATGTATGCTCCAGTGCTATCATTATCTTTGTCATCTTTATCATCCCTTCATTTCTTGGCAAGTCACTGGCCTGCAAGCTACAGGGCTGTCAAGTAGTGAAGGGAAGAAAAGGTGACAACCCCCTTGCTTACAGGTCAACAACGTGCCAAGAAGTGAAGGAAGGATAAAGATGACAACCCCATAGCTTGCAGATCAGTGACATGCCAAACAGAGTAAGATTCAAAGAAGTTTAAAGATATCGGGTCAACATTTTACAGATTAGCAACTTGTCAGATGGTGAAGGAAAGGTAATGATTGATGGCAAGTCACTGACCTGCATGCTATGGGGCTGTCATCTATATCTTTGATTCACTACTTGGCTGTTCATCGACCTGCAAGCTGCAGGATGGAGGAAAGGATGATATCTACCTAGATTACAGGCCATTGGCTTACCAAGTAGTAAAGGAAGGATAAAAATGACTTCTTGTAGCTTTGAGGTCATTGACGTGCAAAGTAGAGATAGAAGGATAATGATGCCAAGCCAACATTTTACAGAATAGTGACTTGATCAGTAGTGAAGGATGGATGAAGATGTCAGCCCCAAAGCTTCCAGGTCTATGACTTGCCAAGTAGAGAGAAAGGATAAAGATGTCAGCCTTGCAGTTTCCAGGTCAATGGCTTGCCAAGTAGAGAAGAAAGGATAAAGATGACAGGCCAGAATTGAAACTTGCCCATCAGTGAAAGACAGGATGGCAGCCTCTTAGCTTTCACCTTCAATCCCAAGTGGGTAGTGACATCTCCCATACCTCTCTCCTTTCAGGTTCCATTTAAAAGTTGTAGAGCCAGTTTCAGATGTTTTCCAGGAAGCTGGACAATTTGTAGGACCAAACCTTCAGAGGACCGTTTCTTTTCCACTTTCCACAGAGAAAAAGCTATCCTGATACAATAAGAATGGACAGTATGATATACCTGAGGTAGGTGTACTCTGTATTCTCCACTGCAGGTGGCACTTGACCACAGCAGCAATGCAGATGGGGGGGGGGGGAATGGAAAGGAACTGGGTTCCTCCTATGATTTCCTCGATCACATGGGGTAGTGGTCAGATTGGATATTTGTACCCCTGTGACTCTGGTGGCCATCTTGGGTTGGTAGAGTCTATTTAAGGCTCCGACCACTGGGTTTGGCGCGCTTCATGCAAGTGGCTAGTGAAAGGACAGGTTCCCTGTCAGGGACAGTGCTAGTGATAGGAAAAGGTTCTGGAGGAGAAGAGAAAGAAAGCAGGGACCATGTCTACCTCTGCAGGAAGTTTCTCTTTTTGGGTTTGACCAGCCAGACAGCATTCCGTTATTGGCATCTTCAGGTCTTCAGACCACTGTCTCACTGCTGTGTTGTTGTAAATGTCACTGGATGAGCAAGCCTCCCTGACGGGCCTGCTGTACCTACCAAACTTCTTTTATAATTCCTTGCTGTTGACAAACTGGAACTCTGCATTTTTACTGCCCACACCAAACCACACTGCCCACCAAACCACACTGCCCCTACCCCACATATTTATGGCAGAAAGTGAAACTTATACTGCGGGTGAAACAATTGGCTGGAGAATCTCTCAGACCGGCTTTACAGAATTGTTTCATCACAATTGATTTGTATTTCTAGATGGCAACTTCAAACCTTTTTGTGTTAAACCTGACAGTCTACCACAGAATATTGTGTAAATCATAATATATTGGTTCTCATTGTGTGCATTTGTGCAGTTTTGGGCCCTTGGTAAATTCTCAAGGAAGCTACTATCAATATTTTTTATTAAGATCCCCCAAAATGAAGGTGGTGGTCAGATGTAAAGGTAGGATCCAGATATACTTTGGTATCTGTGAGATACCAATAAAGAAGAAGTTTCAGGTCAGCCAAAGGTTCCTGTTTATGCTAAAGGAAAGGGGGTAGGAAAGTGGTTCCCTCTTATCCAAGGGTGAACAATAGTGATCAATACAAGTTCTCTAAGTTGTCTACCTATTGTCCACCCAAACACTGTTGGCTGATGAGCAATGAAGAGTAATAGGGACCAAAACCTCTTACCTTGGGCGGGTGATGAAGGTGATATACTGATACAGATCTGAATAGTACTGTGCCAGCTGATCTTGGGTCGCTTGGTCTCCAGGGTGCTGCGGCTCACTGGGAGCTGCTGATGTGGCTAAGCTCAGAGCCAGGAGAATGAAGACAAAGGCAAGAGGTATCTAAGCGGGGAGGTCATCTGTATAGAAAGATGCAAACAAATTACTATTATTTATTGTCTTGACCCTCTATATTGTGTCATAAAACAAGAGGTTGATGTTCATTTCATGTGTTAGGATATTACTGGAAATAGCAATACCTGTAGACTCTGGACTGGGGTCAAGGGGCCATCATAATTTCCCATTTCATCTTGTCTCCAAAGTATTTAGCCAACATGGTGAAATTTTACCAAATTTTCTAGAACAAATTCAGTGCCTGAACACAAATGCATGTGTGCCCACGGCCCTCATCCCCATGTCCATGTTACCAAGGTTTGGGTGACATTCTTCTAAGAAGAATTTTGATCTTATTGAAAAGATGTATAATATTGGAGGCCAGAATGGGGACCATCCCTTGTCCATGGTTCCTGGAGACACAGGGCATATAATCATTCAGAAAGGTTTGCAAACCTTGTGTGATTTCTATTATTCTCCTAGAGATTAGAGATCAGCAAAATTGGGAGTTTGCATTTCCCCCGAATTGTAACGAAAAGCTGAAAATGTTAAGGGTGCACTAGGCTTTAACTGGCTACTTTTGCGTTCGAGAAGCTTCTCTGCCAAAAAAAACAGACGTTTAGCTTTTTTTTCAGAAAGGGAGAAAAACAGGCAGTAAAAAATTGTAATAAAAATTAAACATTTAACGCAACAACACGCAACTAACAATTAAATACATAAATACAAAGAACACTAATAAACCAACATATACTGTAAAAAAAAAAAAAATACCCTCGTTCCCTCGAACAAAATAGAAAAGACAAGTAGTTTAAATTTTTTTTCACTTCATCAGCTCAACAAGGGAAATTCTAAACTTCCACTTCAGTTAATTTCACTGATTGGTGAAACTGGTAATTATGCTGAAATCGCTGTGTTCATCCCTACTGTTAACCCAGCATAGGAACTATCTGCCTTACCCTCCGTCCTCTCCTCTTTACATGTATAAAGGTGTGTTTGTGGCTGACATACATGTATATGGCATGCTCACAATGGTTTTGCCTGAAAATGGCCAAATGAATCCAGCATGCTAGGATTCCCCTCTACCTATACCTTTTGGGCACTTCACAGGCTGTTAAAATGTCCTTTATCTGCATAGCATATCTTTTGGATTTTTGTTTGTTCTTGCCCCCCAGATGCCATCTAATAAAAAGTGAACAGAGTCAAAAAGTTCAGTCCACACTTCTAAGCTCACAGGGTATGTCTTTGCTTTGTGTTACCCCAAACACTGAATGCAGGGAATGCGGAAAGCAAACAGCAAATCCATATCTAGCTTTAAATCTTAGCATGCTAGAAAAGCTCTGCCAATTTACTTCTTTTTCTCTAAGCCAGTGGTCCCCAAACTGCAGCCCATGGGCCAGATGCGACCCTTTGCTTTTATCTGGCCCTTGGTGCACTATTTTATCCACTGATACTAACAATGGAGCATACTTCCTCCCACTGGCATCAATGATGGGGCATAATTCCTTCCAATGATACCAATGATGGGGCACAATTCCCCCCAAAGTCTCCAATGATGGGGCACAATTCCCCCCAAAGTCTCCAATGATGGGGCACAATTCCCCCCAAAGTCTCCAATGATGGGGCACAATTCCCCCCAAAGTCTCCAATGATGGGGCACAGTTCCTTCCAATGGCACCAACAATGGGGCACAATTCCCCCCAAAGTCTCCAATGATGGGGCACAATTCCTTCCAATGGCACCAACAATGGGGCCCAATGACACCAATGATGGGGCACAATTCCTTTCAATGACACCAATGATGGGGCACAATTCCCACTGGCACCAAGGATGGGGCATAATTCTTCCCACTGACACCAACGGTGGGGCACAATTCCTACCACTGTCGCCAACGGTGGGGCATTGTTGCTGGGACCTTTTCTGCTCCCAGTGGCCAAAGTCTGGCCCCCCTTAAAGTCTGAAGGACAGTAAACTGGCCCTTTGTTTTGAAAGTTTACAGACCCATGCTGTAAGCCAACAAAATCCTTTTATTGTGCTCATAGTTTTATCCACGACACAAACAGGTGACATTTTTGGAGAAGGACAGATAATGTAACATAGTTGGTAAGGTTGAATAAAGACACTAGTCCATCCAGCTCAACCTAAGAGAGAGAGTGTATGAGTGTGCGTCACCACCATTTTTCCATTGTGTTTTCTAAGAGACAAATCTAAAAGTTTTTTTTTTTTTTTAACTTCTCTACACTCTCCTCTGACACCACCAACTGTAGAAGGGAATTCCACATTCTTACCAACTTAACAGTAAAGAACCCTTACACAGTTTAAGATTGAACCACTTCTCGTCCAACTTCATTGTGTGGCCACCTGTCTTCTTTGGAGACCCAAGATTAAAAAGTTTCTTCCCAGTGCTAGAGTAAAGGATTTTTATATCATTATCGTATCTCCTCTTAAGTGTCTTTTCTCCAACTTTAAAGTTTGTGATAGTTCCTCATAACTGAGGTCCTTCAGCCTCCTTATTAGATTTGTTGTCCTTCTTTGGACTGTCTGGTTCCAGCACATCCTTCCTGAGGATCAATGACCAGAACTGGATGGCATACCCAAGATGTGACCAAACCAGCTTATCTCTTGAGTAAATACCATTTTTAATGCATTCTAGTTAATGCAATAGTCTGCTAGACTTGCCGCAGTTTGGCATTGCATGCTATTGCTGAGCCTGTGATCTGCTAGGACCCCCAGATCCTCTTCCATCCTTAGTTCCCCCAGAGTTTCTCCACCCATTGAGCAACATACATGCATATTTTTAGCTCCCAAATGCATTACTTTACATTTTCCTACATTGAACCTTATCAGCCATATAGCTGCCCACTCCTCTCTTTAACTAGGTCTACTTGAATTTAACGCATTCTTACGGTCCGATCAAATACATGCTAACCAGCCTTTCCTAAAAGTTGTGGAAGAGTTGATTGGTAATGAAAGTATCATTCATTTTTGTCCTCTGTGTATGTATAATGGGTCTCCTTTGATCTGTATAGTTCCTGCCTCCTGCTGTCACCAACCTAGAAAAATGACCCAATTAATACAGCGCTAAATGTATTCCCAAGGACTGCAACCTTGGCTGTGGAAGCAGATGGTCGATATTCCTCTGTGATAAGCAGGCGCTCTTACCTTGGTCAGTATGCTGGCTGGAGTCTGGAATGATGACCCTGAAACCCCACGTAGATTATATCACTGTTCCAGTGCCCTCCCCAAGTTTCGTCATCGTAGGAGACCACCCATGCCTTATCTCCAGGCTGCTACCCCCTCCATTACACACCATTAATATGTCAACTGTTCACATTGGTGACTCAGATTTACTGAATAAACTTTTTGGATTGTCCTGAACATCAAACAAGACCGTTACCCAGCATATTAGTCAGAGTCTCCAGGAGAGAAGTAGCTTCCAGTTATTTAGAAAGGGTGCCAATCATCGAGTCTGCAGCCCTCATTTCCAACGAAGGGTTGTGTGAAGTCCTTGCCTGAAACCAGCTGTGCCAAGGAAGACTGGGGGGTGCAACCACAGATAATGAGTAAAAGTATACACCATATAAAACTAGAAACGAAGCTTTAGAAGGGAAACTGGGAACATTTGATCAGTTTTTCTCCCTCCTTTGATATACTTCACTTGCCTACCTCACTGCTTTAGTTATCTGATGATCTGGGCACTGGTATGGTTACTTGTTTGTAATGCAGGTGAGGTGTTGCCACTCGCATGCAAAGATTCAAACTTGCATTAAAAGCCTAAATATTTTTGGTGATTCTGGGGGATAGTCATCCTGTCCATCCAGTCTTCATAATGAAACGGTTCAAAAAACAACTTTTTTCCAGAAACTATTTTTTTCATAAAATATTTTTTTCCAGAAAAATGGAAATGTTCTGAAAAATAAAAAAATTTGAGAAAAAAAATGGAAATGTTCTGAAAAATTTAAAAGAAAATTGAGAAAAAAATGGAAATGTTCTGAAAAGTTAAAACAAAAATTAGAATAAAATGGAAATGTTCTGAAAATTTTAAAAAAAATTGATTGAGAAAAAAAAATGAAATTTTCTGAAAAGTTAAAAAAATTTGAATAAAATGGAAATGTTCTGAAAAATTGAAAAAAAAATTGAGAAAAAAAATGGAAATGTTCTGAAAAATTGAAAAAAATTGAGAAAAAAATGGAAATGTTCTGAAAAACTGAAATACAAAATTGAGAGTGGAGTAGTTTTACAAATTGAAAGTAATTTATTTACACTGGAACGAGAAATGTATTGTATATAAAAGTATTATGCTTAAATAAAAGTACAGCTTATTTAGTAAATAAACTTGTCTACTGCTCTGAGCAGATATGGCACTGTGGAAATTTTCCCAAAGTCTAGATGTTGGTCTCACCATTTTACTGAGAGGAGGAAAGGAAAAACCAATTTACTGACCAGACATTAGGGAAATATTATTCTGTGAAGGTACAAAATATTAGTAGGAATCATTTAAAGGTTACAAAGATAAACTAATTTAGTCAGACAAATTTACCCTCTTACTTGTTAATTAAGGCCTGAGACTATCATCTACTGTATGTCCAACAATCACCCAACTATAGGAGGTACAAGATGGAGCCCACAAGTCAAAAGGTACAAGTCAAAAAGTGGTTACAACTGAATGGACTTCTTTATAGGCACTTAAACATCAAGTCCATAATGTCCATTCAGTTGCAACCACTTTTTGACTAGTTTTCATAGGATGAGGCACAGTTTATGAGTAATGCATCCATAGTACCACCCTATGGACATACGTTTTATAGGAGGTACAAGATGGAGCCTAAAAGCAAAGTTAACCTGGAGACTTTCCCCTGCAGTGCACCCTGGTAGCAAAAATGTATATTTCACTTATTGAGACATACAGTGTTACTTGAATTGTGTTCCAGGTTAGCTGACAGAACTGAATTCAATCT